GACCGACCACCTCCTGATTAGATTTAGGCTCACTGCGCCCCCTAACCTCCGCAAGGGTGGAGGACCCATTAAGATGGTCCGCCCCAGGAGGCTAATGGATCCGAACGGATTCCTGACGGCTCTTGGGGAGTTCCCCGCCACCGCGGTAGGCGACAATGTCGAGGCCTTGGTCGCTCTCTGGAATGGGGAGATGACCAGGGCTATTGACATGATCGCTCCGGAACGTCCCCTCTCAAGTAACCGAGCTAAACCAGCCCCTTGGTTCACTGAGGAGCTGGCAGCGATGAAGCGAAGGAAGAGGGTTCTAGAGAGCGTGTGGCGATCGGACCCAAGCGAGTCAAACCGAGCACGGTTTGTGTCCTTTCTGAGGGCATATGCCGCGGCAATAAAAGCCGCAAAGAAAACTTTCTTTGCGGCCACTATTGCGTCTGCAAAGAACCGTCCGGCGGAGTTGTTCCGGGTTGTCAGAGGCCTTTTAACTCCCCCCACCGGTGGGAGCCCTGACAACTCGGCAACGCGCTGTGAAGCATTTGCTCGGTTCTTTGCAGACAAAGTCGCTTTGATCCGTTCTGGGCTGGACGCCACATTAAATGCAGTCTCTGTGGATGTGACTCAAGCACCTGCTTGTCCGATTTTGTTGGATTCTTTTCAGTTTGTGAAACCGAGGATGTGGACAAGTTACTTGGAGGAATGAGAACCACATGCATCCTAGACCCCTGCCCATCCTGGCTTCTAAAGGAGGCCAGAGGGGGATTGGCTGAGTGGGTAACGGTGGTGGTCAATGCCTCCCTTCGGGAAGGCAAGATTCCAGCGAGCCTAAAACAGGCTATTATAAAGCCGCTGTTGAAGAAACCATCACTGGACCCCACTAAATTTGGACAACTTTCGGCCTGTTTCCAATCTTCCCTTCTTGGGCAAAGTCATGGAAAGCGTGGTGGCCTCACAACTCCAGGTATTCTTGAGAGACACGGATTATCTGGATCCGGCACAGTCTGGTTTCAGACCGGGACATGGTACCGAGACGGTCTTGGTCGCCTTAGTGGATGATCTGCGCCGGGAGCTAGACAGGGGGAGTGTGTCCCTGTTGGTGCTCCTGGACCTCTCAGCGGCCTTCGATACCGTCGACCACGGTATTCTTCTGGGACGCCTTGCAGAGATGGGTCTCGGGGGCACTGCTTTGCAGTGGCTCCGGTCATTTCTGGAGGGTCGTACCCAGAAGGTGTTACTGGGGGACTCCTGTTCAACGCCGCAGCCGTTGTCCTGTGGCGTTCCTCAGGGTTCCATCTTGTCCCCCTTGCTGTTTAACATCTACATGAAGCCGCTGGGTGAGATCATCCGGAGTTTCGGGGTGCGGTGTCACCTGTACGCAGATGACGTCCAACTCTGTCACTCCTTCCCACCTGCTACTAAGGAGGCCGTCGAAGTCCTGAACCGGTGTCTGGCCGCTGTAATGGTCTGGATGAGGGCGAACAAACTGAAATTAAATCCAGACAAGACAGAGGTACTCCTGGTCAGTCGTAAGGCCGAACAGGGTATAGGGTTACAGCCTGTGCTGGACGGGGTCGCACTCCCCTTGAAGGCGCAGGTTCGCAGCTTGGGTGTGACCCTGGACTCATCGCTGAGCCTGGATCCCCAGGTTTCAGCGGTGACCAGGGGAGCATTTGCACAGCTTAGGCTTGTGCGCCAGCTGCGCCCGTACCTTGGGAAGTCTGACTTGGCCACGGTGGTACACGCTTTGGTCACATCCCGCCTCGACTACTGCAACGCTCTCTACGTGGGGCTGCCCTTGAAGACGGTCCGGAAGCTCCAGCTGGTCCAGCGCGCGGCAGCCATGTTGTTAACGGGAGCTGGACGCAGAGAGCATACAACGCCCCTGCTGTCCCAGCTCCACTGGCTGCCGATCCGCTACCGGGCCCAATTTAAGGTGCTGGTGTTATCCTACAAAGCCCTAAACGGTTCCGGCCCAAAATACCTTGCAGACCGCATCTCGGCCTATCAGCCCACGAGGGCCTTGAGATCATCCGGGGAGGCCCTTCTCTCGGTCCCGCCTGCCTCACAGGCACGTCTGGCGGGGACGAGGGAGCGGGCCTTCTCGGTGGTGGCCCCCCGGCTGTGGAACACCCTCCCCGCTGAAGTTAGACAGGCGCCCTCCTTGATGGCCTTTCGTAGGGGCCTGAAAACATGGCTCTTCGAGCAGGCCTTCAACTGAGTGTATTGAATGACAATGGAATGAACTAGGACTACGAATTTTGGCTATGACCCCAGGACTTGACGAAGCGGATTTTTAGTATAAGTATATGTTATGTTGTATTGTCTGGTCTGTATCGTTTTGCTCACTGTACACTGTCTTCTGTGTTGTTGTTCACCGCCCCGAGTCGCCTTCGGGCTGAGAGGGGCGGTCAATAAATGCAAGAAATAAATAAATAAATAATAAAACCAGACAAGATATATAATCTGCAGGGACACATAGACAGGTAGTAAAGATGCAAACAAGAGACAGCATACAAACATGGAATGACTCCAGAGGTGCATCTACACTACAGAATTGATGCAGTTGGAGTCCGCTTTTGCTACCAATGTGTTTAAGTGTTTTGTCTTGTCAGCTTGTCAATATCTCTCTTGAATTGCGGTGCCCAGTATTGGACACAATATCCCAGGTGTGGTCTAACCAAGGCGGAGGTCTCTTCCAACTCTAGGATTCTAGGAGTCTATGATCTTCAACGACAATCATACCAATGACTGGTGGCTTCCTTAATCTTGTCCACAAGGGACAGGCAACTGGCTTTGAGAACTGTTTCTTTTCTTTTGAAAGGAAAACCCTTTTTTGAACCTCTCCCAAGCAATCTACTATCTAGGCTTTGCTGATGCGGGTCCTACTACCACAGTGGTTCTCAACCTTTCTAACACCGGGACCCCTAAATATGGTTCCTCGTGTTGTGGTGACCCCCAACCATAATATTATTTTCATTGCTCCTTTATAACTGTCATTTTGCTACTGTTACAAATCATAATGTAAATATCAGATGTGAAGGATGTGTTTTAATTGTTACAACTTCAACATAATTAAAGCATCATGATTAATCAGAAAAAAATATGGATTTGCAGTACCTTCAACCGATTCAGCGCTGACTTCCACAGACCACTGAGACCTCCAGACGGAACTCCCGGAGGGCGAGAACGCGAGGCATCCAAGGCAGGCTTTGTGTGAGGCCAGGCCTCGCACGAAGGATCCCGCACCCTTGGGGTGGGGCCAACGGAGGCAGCCTCGCGACCCCTCCAAAATGGCCGGGTGACCCCACTGGGGGTCGTGACCCCCAGGTTGAGAACCACTGTATTACCGGTTCCAAACTACTTCTTGGGTCCCGAGTAGACCTACCAGTCAAGGCTTTGTAGATTCTCCATCTGGAGTTCTTTAGGTCTGCAAAACTGTTTCCCCTGAATGCTTAAGGCTGAGAGGCTGTAAGTTCCCAGCCAGAGCTTTGGAACTATTTCTCCCCGGAAGCTGTTTCCCCCGAAGCTGTAGGAAATGAAGCTTTTCTGCAGGTGGAGCTGGTCTACGTCCTGTAGCTTGATTTCCTTCTGTAAGACTGAACTAAAAATGGCTCCCTCTCCTCCCAGGGCCCTGGGGAAAGGGGCGGAACCAAAACTTAACAATGATTGATGGGTCATTGGCCCTATAATTGCAAACCAAGGGAAGTCACTCTTGTAGAATGCCTGAAACCTTGGAATGCATGCAGACATTGAAGAGAAAGACAGTGAAGTTGGAGCTCCTGGTACACCTGGTTTGAAAGAATTATTTCCTGTTTAATTGTGTGGTCATTAAGTAGTTATTTTACTCCAGAAACTAGGTTGAATTGGTTGAGACTCAGTGAGATCTCCATTGGGAAAGTAGAACCGAATGTGTTGCTGCAGGATGAGCTCCCTCCCTCTGTCTCTCCTGCAAAGACAACGCTTGTGCAGTTTCAAATACTATCCCCCTGTTTTTATGATAGGAAATGACATTGGCAACCCAGGAGCAAAAAACTGTGTTACATAATGTAATATAAGATGCTCAATATCCCTTCTGGTCCTGCTCCCAATTTCCTATGGTTTTTTTTATTTATTAATTTTAATTTTTTAAATTAAAAATGATAACAATCGCAATGAACACTAGCAATGACAGACAAAACAAACAGAAGACAACAACAACAGGGGTGTCTCTGGGTGGGAAATGCCATTCCTTCTGCCTTTTCCAGTGTGCTGTTACACCCAGACGTTCTAAAAATAAAACTAAGATGTGCTGTTCTCTATGTCTGAGCCAACTGCGGGTGTCTTTCTTACAAAGTTTGAGATATTCAGCAACTGAGGCTATTACAGGCCTTTGAACATCAAAAAAGGAATATTTATTCTTCAAAGTCCTTGCAGACTTGGCACAGTTCATCAAAGTTACAAACAGAACAGTCAAGAGTTGAAACTACAGAGATATTCTTTTTTTCCCTTCTCCTCTAGTCACGGAGTTAACTTTTTCCCAGAAGGCAGAGAAGATCCTGGAATCTTTTCACCCTAACCCTAAGCTGTTACTGTTAGAAAAAAACAGTTTTTTCCCTATCTATAGCTCAAGGTTAGTTCTGGGTTTTGAGACTATTTCTCCCCGGAAGCTGTTTCCCCCGAAGCTTTAGGAAATGAAGCTTTTCTGCAGGTGGAGCTTAATTTCCTTCTGTAAGACTGAACTAAAAATGGCTCCCTCTCCTCCCAGGGCCCTGGGGAAAGGGGCGGAACCAAAACTTAACAATGATTGATGGGTCCTTGGCCCCATAATTGCAAACCAAGGGAAGTCCCCTTTGCAGAATGCCTGAAAACTTGGAATGCATGCGGACATTGAAGAGAAAGACAATGAAGTTGGAGCTCTTGGTACAGCCCTCGACTACACATTCCCATCTCCCCAAACCTGGCCCTCCTTGCAAAACGTCTAGATGCCCCTGCTTTGAATGTGGCTGTTCTTCCTTCCTCTTTCCCTGCAGGCGGGCACATCAACCCAGCCGTCTCCTTCGCCATGTGCCTGACCGGAAGAATGACCTGGGATCGGTTCCCCATCTACGTCGCGGCCCAATTCCTGGGTGCCTTTGCCGGGTCCGCCCTGGTCTTCGGCATCAACTATGGTGAGCAGATAGACCAGAGAGCAGCGGTTTATTTATTTATTTATTTATTTACTCCTTTTGTATACCGCAAATATCAGCCGCGGCGACTCTAAGCGGTTTACAGTAAAATGTGCAACATTGAACAATATATATGACAAACAACCACAAACAATACACAAAATGTCATCACGCCTCGAATAGAATCAGATCCAAATCTCATAGTCGTTTTACCATTCCTTGTTCAGTATGCCGTCTTCTGAGTCAGATGTTATTGCATGCTTATCCGAACGCCTGTTCGAAGAGCCACGTCTTAACCCGCCTCCTAAACGCCAATAGCGAGGGGGCCTGCCTGATCTCCACTGGTAGGGCATTCCATAGCCGAGGGGCCACCACCGAGAAGGCCCTGTCCCTCGTCCCCGCCAGCCGCACTTGTGATGCTGGCGGGACCGAGAGCAGGGCCTCCCCGGACGATCTTAGCATCCTTGCCGGTTCGTAGGAGGAGATGCGTTCGGAGAGGTAAGTGGGGCCGGAACCGGTTCTCAAAGGGTGCTCCAGGGAGCCCTTGTGGTTAAGGTTTGGGTTACGGTTAGGGGCCTTTGGGTTTCTGCTATTATTATTATTATTATTATTATTATTATTATTATTATTATTACTACTACTAGCCGTTCCCTGCCACGCATTGCTGTGGCCCACATGGGGGTTCTGTGTGGGAGGTTTGGCCCAATTCTATCGTTGGTGGGGTTCAGAATGCTCTGTGATTGTAGAAATGGAGATGAGCACAGAGTCCCAGAGTCGGACACGACTGGACTTCATGTCAGGGGAGAACCTTTACCCTTAGTATTACTACTATTACTATTATTACTATTGGAGAAAGCCCCCCCCCCCCATAGACCCTCCTCTTTGGACAGAAGCAGGTCTCCATCGTCATGCCTTCAACATCCAAAGTGTCCAAGATTCATTCAGTGCCACAACAACACAGGCAAACAACAAAACAATCAACACAATACATACAACGACGTTGATATCTATATCTATAAAAATGTTCTGTGCATCATGAGTCCCTTAAAAACAAAAGAACCAATGAACGGAATCACACCAAATTTGGCAACAAAACGTCTCACAACACAAGGAGTGACCATCACTCAAAAAATTATGATTTTGTCATTCGGGAGTTGTAGTTGCTGGGATTTATAGTTCACCTACAATCAAAGAACATTCTGAACCCCACCAATGATGGAATTGAACCAAACTTGGCACACAGTTCTCCCACGACCAACAGAAAATACTGGAAGGGCTTGATGGGCATTGACCTTGAGTTTGGAAGTTGTAGTTCGCCTACATCCAGGGAGCACTGTGGACTCAATGATGGATCTGGACCAAACTCTACATGAATACTCAATATGCCCAAATGTGAACACCGATGGAGTTTGGGGGAAATAGAATCTTGACATTTGGGAGTTGTAGTTGCTGGGATTTATAGTTCACCTACAATCAAAGAGCACTCTGAACCTCCCCAATGATGGAATTGAACCAAACTTGGCACACAGTTCTCCCATAACCAACAGAAAATACTGGAAGGGTTTGGTGGGCAGTGTCCTTTGGTTTGGGAGTTGTAGTTCACCTACATCCAGAGATCACTGTGGACTCAAACAATGATGGATCTGGACCAAACTCGACACGAATATTCAATATGCCCAAATGTGGACATTGGTGGAGTTTGGGGAAAACAGAATCTTGACATTTGGGAGTTGTAGTTGCTAGAAGGATTTGGTGGGCATTGTTCACTTACATCCAGAGAGCACAGTGGACTCAAACACAGATGGAGTTTGGGGGAAATAGGCCTTGACATTTCGGAGTTGTAGTTTATGGGATTTACATAGATTAGAAACCAGCACTTCCTCATTACTTTATTTTCCATATCACCAGACTGGGCCACAGCAACGCCTGGCAGGGGATCGCTAGTCTAGCTATATATCTATATCTCTATCTATCTATCTATCTATCTATCTATCTATCTATCTATATGCAAACACACATATATACATATATATATATACACATATGGGGAAAGTGGAAGGCAAAAGGAAGAGGGGCCGACCAAGGGCAAGATGGATGGATGGCATCCTTGAAGTGACTGGACTGACCTTGGAGGAGCTGGGGGTGGTGACGGCCGACAGGGAGCTCTGGCGTGGACTGGTCCATGAGGTCACGAAGAGTCGGAGACGACTGAACGAATGAACACACAAATATATACACACACATAGACACATATATATACACACACAAAACATACACAGACTGAGCCACAGCAAGGCGAGGCCGGGGACGGTTAGTAATATAATATAATAAAACATTTCGTGGGTCTCCATGAGAAACTTTTGCTTCAAAAAACTTGCCTGGAGGGATTACGTGAACCTCTGTTGAATATAAGAAATATCTCCCTTGAGCAAGGAGGGTTTAAAAGAGGCGATGCTATCTCCGCTGCTGAAGAAACCAGACTTCGATCGTTCGGTTCCCTCTAGCTCCCGCCCAGTCTCGAACCTTCCGTTCCTGGGCAAGGTGGTGGAGAGGGCTGCAGCAGTTCCTAAAGGACACCGCCGGACTCGATCCCTTCCAGTCCGGCTTCCGTAGTGGGCACAGGACGGAGACTGTGCTAGTTGCCATCACAGATCAGCTCCGCTGCCAGATGGATCAAGGCGGATTAGCGCTGCTCGTGTTATTGGACCTCACGGCAGCATTTGATACGGTCGATCACAATCTACTGACCCTCCGCCTAGCCATGACTGGGGTGAGGGGGAGACCCTCTAAATGGGTGTCCTCCTTCCTCCAGAATCGGGGAGGGATGGTTTCCGAGAGATCTCCGCTAGTATGCGGAGTCCCGCAGGGAGCTATTCTCTCTCTTCTATTATTTAACATCTACATGCGACCACTTGCCCGGCTGGTGCGGAGCTTTGGGCTGGAGTGCCACCCATACGCTGACGACACTCAGCTCATTCTGAGGATGGGGGGCCGGCCGGACTCTGTACCCGGAAATTTCCCTCAGTGCCTTGAGGCTGTGACTGGATGGTTGCGTGCCAGCAGGTTGAGGGTGAACCCAGCGAAGACGGAGATCCGGATGGGAGGGAGACCCAGCTGCCCACCCTGGATGGCGAGACACTCCGTCCGTCACCTTCTGTCAAGAGTCTTGGTGTCTTATTGGACCCTCTGCTGCTCACAATGGAGACCCAGGTCTCGGCTGTTTTTCTACCTGCGTCAGGCTAGGTGACTGGCTCCCTTCCTATCTAGGAACGACCTGGCTATGGTGATCCAGGCGATGGTCATCTCGTGGCTTGACTACTATAACGCCCTCTACATTGGCCTTCCTTTGTCAGTGATCCAGAAACTGGAGCTGGTGCAAAATACGGCGGCTCGTCTTCTCGCCGGGGTGCGGGCGAGGTGTCATATCACCCCAATTCTGCAACAGCTGCACTGGCTTCCGATCGAGAACCAGATCACTTTCAAGGTGCTGGTACTAACCTTTAAGGCCTTACATGGTCTGGGGCCGGCGTACCTGAGGGCCCGCTTATCCCCCTACCAACCCTAGAGATTACTCCGGTCTGAAGACCAAAACCTGCTTGCAGTCCCCAACATTCGGACCTGTCATTTGTCCTCTACTAGGCAGAGAGCTTTCTCAATTATGGCCCCTTGAAAGAATTTGCGAAGCCCTGCTAAAGAGGACTGTGTGTTGAATGAAGAGATCCCCCCTCGGCCCTTTGGTGGGCTTCTGCCCCTTGAGTTGCAACCTTCCTGTTGTCTGCCTTTTTTTGGCTGCCATTCCTGCACCGACTCCAACTCCCCTCCCTGAAGCTCTCATGCTGTATTTTCCCTCTGCAACCACTAATTATTTTTAACAATGGCCGTTCTTAATAAATACTATATTGCAACCATATATATATACACACACATATGGTTGCAAAGGGGAAATGAGTCATTAATGGGGTGCAGAGGAGAAGCGGGACCGGCCGGTTCAGGAATGCAACCCACGCGGGAGAGGCTTTCTTTATGGGGAATGTGGCACCACGTTAAGAGCCAAGAGCAGAGGCAGTTATGACCTTTTTTTTTTTGGCAACTAATCAGTATTTTACACTGATATGCATTTGCTTATGGCGTAGAAGTGAATCCCAGTATTTATTTGTCGTGTCAGGAGCAACCACTCAATTGTATTACATTTCTAACGGAACAAAACAAACAGACAAAATACAAAGTTTGCAAGTTTGGTAGTTGACTAAATGTCCTTTGAGCAGTCTCTGTCCCCTTGGAGTGCCTCTGGTGTTGCCGCAAGGAAGTACTCCCTGGTGCATTATGTGGCAGGGCTCAGGTTGCATTGTAGCAGGTGGTCAGTGGTTTGCTCTTCTCCGCACTCGCATGTCGTGGACTCCACTTTGTGGCCCCGTTTCTTGAGGTTGGCTCTGCATCTCGTGGTGCCAGAGCGCAGTCTGTTCGATGCCTTCCAAGTCGCCCAGTCCTCTGTGTGCCCAGGGGGGAGTCTCTCATTTGGTATCAGCTATTGGTTGAGGTTCTGGGTTTGAGCCTGCCACTTTTGGACTCTCGCTTGCTGAGGTGTTCCAGCAAGTGTCTCTGTAGATCTTAGAAAACTATTTCATTGAATCATAGAATCATAGAATCAAAGAGTTGGAAGAGACCTCCTGGGCCATCATCCAGTCCAACCCCATTCTGCCAAGAAGCAGGAATACTGCATTCAAATCACCCCTGAGAGATGGCCACCCAGCCTCTGTTTAAAAGCTTCTAAAGAAGGAACCTCCACCACACTCCGGGGCAGTGAGTTCCACTGCTGAACGGCTCTCACAGTCAGGAAGTTCTGACGTGCTGACTGATACCCAAACAGGGGATGAGCTGGAGATGTCTCTGCCTTGGTCCTTTCACTATTGGCTGCCACTTCCCGGCAGATGTCAGGTGGTGCAATATTAGCTAAGCAGGGTGATTTCTCCAGACACCCCGTGATAATGCAGCATGTCTCATTAAGAGCCACATCCCCTGTTTTAGCGTGGTGAGATGTGTTCCACGCTGGGCGTGCATACTCTGCAGCAGAGTAGCATAACGCAAGGGCAGATGTCTTCACTGTGTCTGGTTGTGATCCCCAGGTTGTGATTCCCAGGTTGTGCCCTGTTATGCCACCTCTACAAAGTCCTGGAGAGACTTATTCTGCATAGAATTACGGAAAAGATAGACCCCTGTCTGATTCCACAGCAAGCTGGCTTCAGGAAAGGCAAAAGCTGCACATCGCAAGTGCTGAACCTGACTCATGGGACTTGTAGTTCAAATGGGGATATTCTGGGAGATGTCGTTCCACTATTGAATTTTCCATTGCTCTGGGTTAAAAGCAAGACGGGGGTGCCAAGGCCAGGGAAGCCGAGGCTGGGGAGAGCCATGGGCCCCGTGACCCTGGGGGTGGCCAAGGCCCAGAAGCTGCCCTGGGCGAGTGGAGTGACCTGACCCGCACCTCCTTCTCTGCTTGCCTCCTTCCCAGAGGGCTTGATGGCCTTCACCGGAGGGTCCTTCAACGTCACCGGCCCCAAGGCCACGGCCCACATCTTTGCCACCTACCCCCAGGAGTACCTGTCCTTGGCCAGCGGGTTTGCCGACCAGGTAAGGAAAGGGGGAAGGAGGCCAGGCAAGGGAGGACCCCGGCCCTCCCTTGCTTCCTTGCTTCCCTGCTTGTTTCCTTGCAGGTGACGTCCACCTGCTTCCTGCTCCTGGGGGTCTTTGCCATCTTTGACCAGGAGAACCTGGGGGTCCCTCGGGGGCTGGAGCCGCTGGCCGTGGGGCTCCTGGTGATCCTGCTCAGCTCCTCCATGTCCATCAACTGTGGCTGCGCCATGAACCCTGCCCGCGACCTGGCCCCGCGCCTCTTCACCTACCTGGCTGGCTGGGGGCCACAGGTCTTCACGTGAGTAGGGGTGGGGGTGCTGCGGGGGGAGTGTCCCCATGACTCATGCTTCCCTGTCTCCCCAGGACATTCAGGGATGAATCCCTGTGGGTACGCACCTGCATGGTGCCACAAACAGTGGATCTGCCCTCTCTCGTGCAAGACTAGTGCCCAACGGTGTGCCTGCCCTCTTGCAAACCCAAAGGGTGTGCTTGCCCTCATGCAAACCCATTGGGAAGCCATGTGTTTACCCTCATCCAACCCCACTGTCCAATGGTGCACCTGCAAGCCTGTTGTGAAATAGTGTGTCTCAGTGTGTCTCTGTGACCAGACACACCACTGGTGACTGAGATTACACAAGGGCAGAGACACCATTTCACAATGGACTTGCACAAGGGCAGGTGCACCACTGGGCACTGRGCTTGCACTAGTGACTGAGATTACACAAGGGCAGAGACACCATTTAACAATGGACTTGCACACGGGCAGGTGCACCACTGGGCACTGGGCTTGCACTAGTGCAAGCCCGGTGCCCAGTGGTGCACCTGCCCTTGTGCAAGTCCATTGTTAAATGGTGTCTCTGCCCTTGTGTAACCTCAGTCACCAGTGGTGTGTCTGCTGCAGAGAAATCCCAGTATGAAGCTATGCACATGCACTTGTGCCAGCCCAGTGCCGCACCTGCCCTTGTGCCTGTCTTGTGAAATGCTGTGCTGTCCTAGTGCAAGCCCCATATGCAACAATGCCCCTACTCTCATGCAAGCCTGAAGGTGTACCAGCCCTCATGTAAGCCCAGTGCATAATGGTACAGAATCCTTCATGCGAGCCCAATGTGAAATTGTGCACATGCTCATGTGCAAGCCCAGTGCCAATGGTGTGCCTGCCTTCGTGCAAGCCCAGTGTAAAATGTTGCAGAACCAGTGTGCAGAGATGCATATGCATTGCCAGAGCCATCTTTGCTTCCAGTTTCCAGGGCTGGAATCTGGGCACGGTTCCCTTGTGTTCCAAGAGCGACCTCTGGCGGAGAGACGCAAGCCATGTTTTCTGGTCAAAAGTGTCACCAAAGCGCATTCATTCCACAGCAGGCCTGGACCAACTTGGGCCTTCCCTCCAGGTATTTTGGACTCCAGTTCCCACCATTCCTATCAGCTTCAGGCCTCTTCCTTTCCCCCTGCTGCTTAAGTGGAAAAGGAAAGGAAAAAAGAAAATGTGCCATCCGCCCAGACGATATAAAAAATAAAACTGAGATGTGCTTCTCTCTATGTCTGAGTGAACTGCAGGTGTCTATATTGAGAAGCTTGAAATACTCAGCAACTGAGACTATTACTGGTTTAAACATCAAAAAAGGATATTTATTTATACAAAGTCCTTGAAGACTTGGCAGAGTTCATTACATTTTTTGAACCGGGGGCCAGTTCACTGTCCCTCAGACCGTTGGAGGGCCGGACTATAGTTTCTTTCTTGCCCTCTTTAGGCAGTAATTCCAGGAGCAGAGAATGGGAAATCTTCCTATTTCTAGTCTGGACAAAATCTGGCCACCAGTATTTAAAAAAAAACTCTGAAGTTATAACTGTAAATAAAGAACAACACTCAAACACAGGGGAACTCCGGACAAGAAACAATCAGGCCCAGCTAATCACCTCTCCCTAAAAACTGTCAGGCTATGAAATGGTCATCAAGGTGGCCAACTGAAACATTCATCCCTACCTCCAACAGACAAGAGTCCTTTCTCCCACCCTGGATCTTCCACAATTTTCCTAGTTAAAGGTTTTCCTCTGACATGAAGTCCAGTCGTGTCTGACTCTGGGACTCTGGTGCTCATCTGCATTTCTAAGCCGAAGAGCCGGCGTTGTCCATAGACACCTCCAAGGTCATGTGGCCGGCATGACTGCATGGAGCACCGGGGCAGCCTCCCCGATGGGCAGCGTGAGCCTGCCAAGGGAGGAGCAGCACCGCACGGCCTACTTTCGCGATGGCCTGATGAGCCTGCCAAGGGAGGAGCAGCACCGCGCAGCCTACTCGTGCGTAAAGCATCTTGCGAGGTGCTTTACGCGCGACTAGGTCATGCAGAGCAGCTGCCCTTGGCTGGCTCACACTGCCCATCGGGCCTGACGGATAGCGTGAGCCAGCCAAGGGGGCGCTCCTCCTCCGCGGGCCGGATAAGTGTCCTTGGCGGGCCGGAAGTGGCCCGCGGGCCGTAGTTTGGGGACCCCTGCTCTATAACTATATAACTCAATCTTCTCAATTAAGCTTATCTAACTATAATATCTCAATACTGCTCAATACACAATATACTATCTATATTAACTCAATATAGCTTAATACTGATCTATAATGTATAGTTTTTGCAATGGTTTTCCCAGAGCTAGCTGCCTAGCCATCAGCAGGTCTGAAGTCTTTCCTCAAACCGAAAAGGCAGGGGAGGTTCCAAAATGGAGATCTCTTCCCTGGGAGAAAAGGCGGTCCCTAAACTCAAAGAGCTGCTCTCTAAGCCAATGGTTGCAAAGAGGCCTGCAGACTCTGATACTATTAACTTTTAGGACTCTAGCAAAGCTGCAGCAGTCCTGGGAGAAAATGCAAGAGGAAGCAACCTCAAGCAACTGTAAAGTAAGGCAATGGAACAGAAAAGGAAGGGGCCTGAGGCTGTATTGCAACCCAGAGCAGGAAACAAGACCATAAGATAACAATCCACCACACTTGACTGTGGGGAAAAACAATCCCTTTTTATTGATGAAAAATGGTTACAAAATAGAAGAAAATGCAAAGTCAAAAAGCCACAGTAAAATTCAGCAGTCAAGAATATCAATGAACTAGATCCAAAATCCAAAAGCAACACTGTAAAAACTTGGAACCTGTTAGCAATCCACTAACCGTACTTGGAGAACTAGAAGCCTCTTGGGATGTAGGCCACGGGAAATGGGAAATCTGCCAAGGTAATGCCTCAGTCTAAACGATGCCTGATCTAACGAGACAACCCGGCGAGAGGCACTTAAAACTGAAGAAACTGTTTCGTGACACGCCTCCAGGCTTTGAAGCCTGTGTTTCCTTTTCCCTTAATCTGCTTGACCTTCACAGACTCTGCAATTCACTCCTGTTTTTCCAAATCTGTCCTTTTCTATCCTCATTAAGGAAGCCAGGTGTTAACTCCTCTGGAGAGCTATCACCGCTTGGCTCTGCAACATTCTCATCAGAATGTGTAGTTTCACTTTCCAAGCCACTGACCTCAGTATCAACATCTTCCTTACCATCAGGGGAAAATACATGCTCAGTAGCATCAGGAAATACAATCAGAGAATCAGGTTCAGGTTCAGCAATCAGAGAATCAGGTTCAGGTTCACACGCAGGCTGAACCCCAACAGGCTGGTAGGCAAAGTGGAAGTCCAAAACACCTGGAGGGGAGACCTAGGTTTGCCCAGCCAGGCCTGTTTGACAATGTATGGTAGATGCCTCCAAAGACAGTTGGCATCTCCAATAGCAGGGATAATAATGCATCCGTTCTGGGTTTTGGTCCGGACTGTTGAAGGTGACCTTTCCTCTCTCTCTCTTTGGCAGGGCCGGCAACCACTGGTGGTGGGTGCCGCTGGTGGCCCCGATGGTGGGCGCTGCCCTGGGCGCCGCTCTCTACATCCTCTTCATTGAGCTCCACCACTCTCCCCACCAGGACCCTCCTGCCCTCGGCAACCAGGTCGAGCTCAAGCGGATGGACGAGGAAGAGAAACGGTCTCACCAAAGGGACGGGGCGCTTTAGCCTCTCCTCTGGGAGGCATGGCTGGGGTGCCCGTTGGCCTGCCCTGGGATCGCCCTGCCCCAGGTGGGTGCAGGGGGCGGCCGGGCCTTGAACAGGACTTGGTTTGGGGCGGAAGGGATTCGGGACCCACGGTCCACCCTGGAAGGAAGGAAGGAAGGAAGGAAGGAAGGAAGGAAGGAAGGAAGGAAGGAAGGCTGGCCTTTCAGAGGAAGACAGGCAGAACTTGGCAGATCCCGAATCCGCCAATGAACCCTTGCAGGAACAGCGCAGGACGCGGACTCAAAAGGGCATTGGGGGCTCCGAGCCTCATTGTGATTCCACGGGCCCCCTTGGCTTTGAAGGCACATTGACTCTGGTGGCAATAAAAGGCATTTTCCTCCCGCCTTGGTTTCCTTTCCTCCCGAATGCCAGGCCTTCCTGGCCTCTCCCTCCTAAAACTTAGCAGAATGGAACAGTCCACCCAGAAGGGTAAAAACTAGGCCGAAACTTCACAACAGTTATTATTCCCACTGCCCTTGACAATGGCCATTCACATCAACAAGAGCAAATGCATACATTATCCTTTAATATGCATACAAGTTTGCAATACCCCCCCCCCCACAATGCAACAACAGTGCAACAGGAGTGACCACAATGCAGAAAAGGAATAAGAAACCAGGCCAAGCATGCGTTGGAACAGGTGGGTGCCAACCTCTCACGTCTTCTTCACCTGGCTGAGACTGGGTCATGCAGGAAGGTTGTATGACTCTTCTTATTAGTATTAGGAGTAGTAGTAGGATTACTATTATTACCTGAGATATGCAGATGACACCACTTTGATGGACGAAAGTGAGGAGGAGCTGAGGAGCCTTCTGTCCAAGGCGGAAGAAGAAAGCGCAAAAGCCGGGTTGCAGCTAAACATCAAAAAAACCAAGATTATAGCAACAAGAATGACTGACAACTGGGAAATAGAGGGAGAAACCATGGAGGCCGTGACAGACTTTGTATTTCTAGGTGGGAAGATGAGTGCAGATGCAGACTGTGGCCAGGACATCAGAAGACACTTCCTTCTTGGGAGGAGAGCAAGGACCAATCTTGATAAAATAGTCAAGAGTAGTGACATCAGACTGGCAACCAAGATCAATTGCCTAGTCCAAGCCATGGTCTTCCCTGTAGTAGTCACCTACGGATGTGAGAGCTGGACCTTAGGGAAGGCTGAGCGAAGGAAGAGAGATGCTTTTGAACTGTGGTGTTGGAGGAAAGTGCTGAGAGTGCCTTGGACTGCGAGAAGATCCAACCAGTCCATCCTCCAGGAAATAAAGCCCGACTGCTCACTGGAGGGAAGGAGACTAGGGACAAAGTGGAAGTCCTTTGGCCACATCATGAGAAGAAAGGAAAGGTTGAAGAAAACAATGACGCTGGGGAAAATGGAAGGAAAAAAGGAAAAGGGGCCAACCAAGGGCAAGATGGATGGATGGCATCCTTGAAGTGACTGGACTGGACTTGAAGGAGCTGGGGGCGGTGACGGCCGACAGGGAGCTCTGGCGTGGGCTGGTCCATGAGGTCACAAAGAGTCAGAAATGACTGAACGAATGAGCAACAAACAGCTACCACTCTCGTCACCCTCGCATCCAATCCAAACATCACCGAGATGTACCGTTTCTAAAAACACCTCAGAAGTTCACACAGGCCTCCAAAGAACCTTCTTCACGCATCACAACGTCCCTGCAAGTTGGAAGGAAAGAACCACCTTCTGCTTGGAGAAGTTCTGAGAGGTCATCCTTACGGCCATGCAATGCAGTGGACAGAACCTGCCTCACACTTTAAAGGCTTTGAGAGCAACAACCGTGACCACAATGCAAACAAAGGGGTAAAAGACCTGCCCAAACATGAGTTGGAACAGGAGGAGCCTACCTTGGACGTCTTCTTCTCCTGTCCGAGAGGGAGTGGTCCTGGCGCAGGGTTCATGCAGGAAGGTTGCAGGTGTTTCTGGTGAGAGCAGAGGCAGAAAGGCTGAAGCCCCCCAGGCGAGGGGCTGCCTTTCCTCTCAAGGAGGCCTCCTTGAGATGTTCTTCAGGACCGATGGATTTCGGTCCATACCACCACCACACAACCATTCACCTCATCTGGCCCATTGGCCACCCATCCATTCCAAGCACCACTCTGCACCGCTTCCAACAAGAACACCAGTGATGTTTACAAAGGCTGCCGAAGACCCTTCTGAATGGATGGCGCATGAGAACAGACCCAAAACACTCATTCAAAAAACAAGGACTCTCTTCCGCTTAGACGGGCTCTGAAACCTCATTCCTACAACCACACTACACATTGGAAACAACCTCTACCTGGCCCAAAAGGTTTGGAAAGCAACCAAAGGCTGAGGCAGGATCCAAAGAGAGCCACGTAGGATGCAGGGGGTGGGCTGAGAACTTTGGAAGGCGCTAAGGTGGAGGATGGAGACCCCCACTCCCATTGACACAGGTCAAGAGCAAAGGAGGACAACGCCAGCCCTTGATCACAGGTGGCACAGAGTGAGAACACAAAGCACATGTTTTGCTTTATTTATTTATTTATTTCGGGTACTTCTACCCCGCCCTTCTCAACCCCTGAGGGGGGACTCAGGGCGGCTTACAAAAAAGGCACAATTCGATGCCTACACAAATTACACATAATGTACAAAACCATAGTTAAAACAATTATCACAGTTAAAACATAGTTCCACAGTTCTATTCCATTGGTCATTTCCTAATCATTGTCAAAGTCCTTTCTTTATCTGCCCGATTGTCTGAATGCCTGGTCCCAAATCCATGTTTTTAATTTCCTTCTAAAGGAGCGGAGGGATGTCACCGATCTAATTTCCCCGGGGAGTGAGTTCCACAGGTGAGGGGCCACCACCGAGAAGGCCCTGCTCCTCGTCCCCGCCAATCTCACTTGTGATGGAGGCGCGGCCGAGAGCAGGGCCTCCCCAGGTGATCTCAGACTCCGGGATGGGACGTAGAGGGAGATCCGTTCGGACAGATACACTGGGCCGGAGCCATATAGGGTTTTGTAGGTCAAAACAAGCACTTTGAATTGTGCTCGGAATTGGATCGGCAGCCAGTGGAGCTGACACAACAGGGGGGTGGTATGCTCCCTGTATGACGCTCCGGTGAGCAATCTGGCTGCCTCCCGCTGGACTAGTTGGAGTTTCCGAACAGTCTTCAAAGGCACCCCCACGTAGAGTGCGTTGCAGTAATCTAATCAGGATGTAACGGGATGCTTGTTTAGATACTGGTGACACAAGAGAGTGGAACAAGAGAGGATTCATCAGGTCTGTCCCTGCCAAATTGGGACATTTGTAGGGAGTATAAATGCAAAAAGAACCAACACAGTGATTGTTCCCACTGCCCTGGACAATGGCCATGCACATCAACATCAGGAAATGCACACACTATCCCTCAATACGCATATAGGTTTTCAAAGTTTGCAATACCCCCCCCCCCCACATTGTAACAACAGTGCAACAATAGTGACGAAAAGGCAGAAAAGGAATAAAAGACCAGGCCAAGCATGAGTTGGAAGAGGTGGGTGCCTACCTTTCACCTCTTCCTCACCTGGCTGAGACTGGCCCTGGCGGGGGGTCACGCAAGAAGGTTGCATGGCTATTATTTATTTATTTCGGTTGCTTCTACCCCGCCCTTCTCACCCCGGAGGGGACTCAGGGTGGCTTCCAAAAGCAAGGCACAATTCGATGCCCGCATCACATAACAACAGTAAGACAAAATAACATCGATTAACAGAAAACAACAATTCTTGCATTACAACCATAAAACCAGTAAAAGCAATAAAACCAATACAAACCAATTTCTCCTCATTGACGGTCAGCGTTTTGCAATCTTATAGTTCAAATTCCAATTCCACAATTGTCAGTCCTGTCAGTCCTATCCATCTGGTTGTCCTTGTCTAGTTGTCAGATTGCCCAAAGGCCTGGTCCCACGACCACGTCTTTACTTTCCTCCTGAAGGAAAGGAGGGATGTTGATGCCCTAATTTCCCCCGGGAGTGAGTTCCACAGGTGAGGGGCCACCACCGAGAAGGTCCTGCTCCTCATCCCCACCAGCCTCACTTGTGATAGCGGTGGGGTCGAGAGCAGGGCCCCCCCCAGATGATCTCAAATTTCGGGGTGGGACGTAGAGGGAGATACGTTTGGACAGATACACTGGACTGGAACCGTATACGGTTTTGTAGGTCAAAACCAGCACCTTGAATTGTGCTCGAAACTGAACCGGCAGCCAGTGGAGCTGACACAGCAGTGGGGTGGTGTGCTCCCTGTATGTCGCTCCGGTGAGCAATCTGGCTGCCGCACGCTGGACCAGTTGAAGTTTCCGAACAGTCTTCAAGGGCAACCCCACGTAGAGTGCGTTGCAGTAGTCTATTCGGGATGTAGCAAGAGCGTGGACCACTGTGACCAGATCCGACTTCCCAAGGTATGGGCACAACTGGTGCACAAGTTTTAGTTGTGCAAAAGCTCTCCCAGCCATCGCCGAGACCTGGGGTTCCAGGCTCAGTCCAGGATCACTCCCAAGCTGCGAACCTGCGTCTTCAGGGGGAGTGTAACCCCGTCCAGCTTGTTTGGCCTTAAGACTGACCAGTAGGACCTCAGTCTTGTCTTTATTATTATTATTATTATTATTATTATTATTATTATTATTATTATTATTATTATTAAAGGTTGCCATGGCTCAATGACCTCAGTGATCTGGCAGGTGACGCCCTAGTGGCCATTCCCTTTGCCGCCCCCTAGTGGACACAGGGATATTCACCCTTGCCTTGAGATGCTCACCTGCAATCCTTTGCTGCCATCAAGTGGCCAAGTAGGGAAGTGCACCCTTGAGCCGTGGAGGGCGCCTCTCTGCTGCCATCATGTGGCCATTGTGGAAAACAACAACACTATATGATATTTCCTAGCCAAGGAGGAAAGCAGGAAAGACTAAGAAAGAAGAGAAGGGGGAAAATGACAGGAGGAAGGAAGGAAGAACTTTGAAAGGCACCAAATGGCCATGAACAATGCAAAAGAGCCTCTGAACAACTTTTAGAAGGCAACAAAAGACGTCACTCTGGACCATGCTCTGACCTACAAGAAGCACTGCCTGAACATCAAGCAAAAAGCTGAACATCAATACGAAAGCTGACTGGCACAACCTGGGGTTCACAACCAGACACAGTGAAGACATCTGCCCTTGCGCTGTGCTACTCTGCTGCTGAGTATGCATGCCCAGTGTGGAACACATCTCACCACGCTCAAACAGTGGATGTGGCTCTGAATGAGACATGCCGCATTATCACGGGGTGCCTGCGCCCTACACCACTGGAGAAATTACACTGCTTAGCCGGTATTGCACCACCTGACATCCGCCGGGAAGTA